AACTAACAGCTTTATGAGTACCCATGGTTTTAGGACTGGGAAGCATTGAGGCCGGAGAGTGAAAATGATGGATGACCAAGAAAGATTAGGGCAGAGTTGCTATATGATCCGAACATTCACCCATGATATGCATTGAGGGGACAACTACTCTATCAGGAACATTTCGTGCTACCGAGGGCATTATGGTATATCCCCAAATTGTTGCAAGAGTTTCACGTGACTCTTGGGCATTCAAGGGTACAAAAGACATGCAATCGACTATCAGTAGAGCTATATTAGGTGGGGTTGCGTAGCGATGTAGAGGACATGGTGCCAGGAAGGTTACTACAACCCCTAGTTTTTTTTCTGAGAAGTTTTGGGAGGGGGCGACAATGGATTTTATAGAGGGGTTGCCACAACCAGAGGGATTTATTGTGATATTGGTGGTAGTAGATCACTTGAGTAAGTATGCACCCTTCATTCCATTGTGACACTCTTACACTGTTGCTCAGTTGTTACTGTCTTCATACCAGAATTGGTTTGTTTGCATGATGCTATGAAATCTATTGTATCAGAAAGCGATAAACAGTTCCCCAACCATTTATGGAAGGAACTGTTGAGATTACAAGGATAATCCTAAAGAGTATCATCCTTAGACAGATGACCAGACGGAGGCGGTCAGCAGGAGTGTGGAGACTTATTCGCATGGTTTTGTTTCAAATACACTAAAGCTTTGGGCTAGGTGGATTGCTTGGATTGACTATTGACGCAACCTTTCATACCATGTTGCAACACAAATCACTCCTTTAAAGTTTTTGTATGGGTGGGATCCAGTTCACTTAATGCACTGTGGGCATAACACTATACTAGTATCCAGTTTAAACTAATACTTGAAGGAGAGGGGCATGATATTGACAGAGCTCAAGGGACATCTAGGAAGGGCCCAACAAATGATGACGAGGAAGGCTGATGGACAATGAAGGGAGTTACAATTTGATCCTAAGGATATATTTTATTTGATGCCGATATCTTATCAGCAAAATACACTAACCAAGATGAAAGAGAAGCTTTCCCCAAGATATTTTGGACCCTATGATATTGTGGCAGTGTCATATCGTTTGAGGCTACCGTCATTATCATCATTGCATATAGTATTCCATTTATCACAATTGAGGCGTGTTATCAGAGACCACAGACCCTCATCTTCACTACCTTTGATGCTGACTGAGGACTAGTGGGTGGTTTTGGAACCTTTGCAGATAGAATGGGTGTGCTGAGGAGTGACTTGGGCAAATGAGAAGCTGATTATGTGGAAAGATTTGCCAGATTATGAAGCGAGATCTAGAAGAAGTTTTCATTGTTCCACATTGAGAAAATGCGCTTATTTGGGAGGGGAGTATTGTTACACAAGTCCCTTCTTAATAGGTCCGACCCAACTAGACTTGCTGGCTCAGCCAGAGGGATTGAAAACTCCTGTTTTCATTTGAGAAGATTCCAACCTTTGGGTGGGGCCCATTAATCCCTTAATGATGTATGTGAGGAGAGGAGTTAAGGGGGGGTTTTGAGTGAAAAGTTTGAATGTGTTTTAGAGGTGTTTTATTAGGGCTAATCATCTAGGATTTGCTTTCATGTTTTTATTCTTGTAGTTTTCTTTTTGTCTTCTTGTTCCTAGCGGCGTCTGTTACTTATGGAGAGTCGATCTAACTCTCGAATTGTTGATCTCCAATTGTAACTTGTTTGTTTGCTTTAAGATTAATCAAATTCCCTCTAATTTGAATTTTTCACATGTTTCTTACAATCAGATCGCTGATTTAACTTTTGATTCATATCACAACACTATGAATAGGTTCAATTGGTGCTCAGTTTGTTTGAACCCACTGTTATTATCATTTTTTCATGAAGTGCGGCACTTGCTTTTGTTGAGAAGCAAACACCCCCGCTTTGTAGTATATAACTTTGATACCCAAAGTACTTAACCTTTAAGGTTCTTTACTTTGTTTGAAACAACGGGGAAGTTCCGTTTGGTTGGAATGAACCATGAAGGCTGCAATAATTTTCGTATGGTGAAACAGTGGGGGATGAACGTCTTCGGAAGTTTTTTTGCAAGCAGCAAATTTTCATCAGATCACAGCTCGCTTCCTCTAGCGACAAACACAACTTTTAAAAATAATTTGACAAAATCACATATGTTTCAAATGAAGCCTTAATCTCAAAATTTTCTAGACACTTATGTGAGTCTCTTTCAATTGAATTCTTTTGTATTTCAATAATATCCTTCAAATTCACCAATATCCATCTTATTTCATCTTTTCCTAAATATTTCAAGAAGAGTCCATTTGATTTTGCATGCACCCCATTGGAAGCATATAGCTTTTGTGAATCTCTCAAGTCATCCTATGGGAGGTTGCTTTTATATATATATATATATATAACAATAGGCTCTGTTAGGGTTTCGCCTCATGACGAACTCGAGCATCTCCCTTGATTTCTTTTCTCGCTTCGTTCGCAATCGAGGAAGAAGGGTTTCACGCTCTTTGTCGGTTTCGCCTTTTCTTTCGATTCCGTCTGTTTTGCTTTCGCCTTTGACTCTCCTCGTCGTTCGCCTGCAGCTGCGATTTTCTACTGCTGCTGTGTAGGTCTTTGTCGCCCTCTCTATCTACTGCTGCAACGAACGGTCTACAAATCACAGAGGGGCTTTCCTCTGTCTCGCTCCTTGCTAATTGTTTTGGATTCGTAATTTACTCTCTGCTTTCTTCACTGTTCTTAACTTCGCACCTCCATCAATTGAGGATGACTTCGGACAGATCGTATGCTGCCTCCCTTGTGGGTGTCCACGCCTCAGGTACTCCTAAATCGTGCCTTTCCCTCCTTCGTTTTAGTTGACTGAGGACATCAAAAAGCCTGGTAAGAAGAATGAGAAACCTACCATCTTTTTTTACAGAAGATGAATGTATTCAACTTGCTTCATTCTGTTGTCTGAGTTTGGTCGGGAAATTTCTTTATGACTATCCCAAAATGAAGTTTATTCATAAGGAATTTGAGCTTATGCACCTTGTTGGGGAGTGAAAAATTGAACTTTTAGATAGAAGACACATTTTTATTCAACTTAATAATGAAGATGTTTACACACAATTATTTTCTAGAAGAGTAATCTAGATTGATAACAGAGCAATAAAAATTTTGAAATGGTCTGTGAATATTGACTCACAGGTGTAACCACCAATCATTCTTGTTTGGATTCACCTTTTTGGTCTGAAATTTTATTATTTTACTCAAAAAGTGTTGTACTCTATTGCCTCAGCTTTTGGTAAGCCACTCAAAAAGAACATTCCTATTTGTAATCTTTCCCGTTCATCTAAAGCCAGAGTACTTGTTGAAAGAGACATCACTTCAACCGCTTCAGACGAAATTTCGTTGGACACACAACACCATGGATATTGACAAAATATAGTGTTTGAGTCTTTTCCTTCGTATTGTTCGAACTGTCGTATGTTTGACCACTCCAGTTCTCAATGCCCACCTCAGACAAAAAAAAACAAAGTGCTCCGCCAGAGGCAGTGAATCCCTCTCCTCCTGATTATCTCCAAGTTATTGACACTATTGATCATCAAAAGGATATCTTTGAAGACGTTACTATCCGCGCAGACAATATGTTAACTATTCAGTCTCTACACAATGTTGTAGTTCTCCCGTCTTTGGAGCCTCCTATCGTGGGGGCGAGGGAGATTCTTCAGATCCCACCTGCCCTAGAACCTATCACTACTATTATAGGTGACAATACTTCTACTGCTTCTCTACCGCCTCATTAGGTTGAGCAAGATGTTAATGTTACTCAGACTCATGAGGATCATGATGTGTAACAACCTACACCTGTCCGACCACCTTTGGACAAATCCATTGATCAGATGAGTCGATCCTTGGATGAAGAATGACATGTTTACAAATCCAGGAGGAAGAAGAAGAACGGAGACCTGCTTGAGTTTAGGAATCTGATGGATGATACTTTGGTTACTTCAAGTAATGGTACAAATCTTACCAATTTGTTAGCCGACTCACTTTCGAGAACTAGAGACAGAGGGAAGACTAACGTGGGATGTCCCTAGCTCTTTTGCGCCTGTTGGTGGTTTTTTATGTTTTTATCTTTATGTATCTTTGATTTATTTGAGATTTTGTATGTGTTGTATTGTGTGAGTTGGGCCTTATTTTAGGCCCACTCATACAAACTATATGTATCTTTTCCTTATATATATATATATAGTTCTTACCTTTACTACATTCTCTATTGCCATTGAAATTCTGATCAAATCTTGTACTTCATTATCATTTGTTCTCGTAAGTTTCCATGTGAGGAAATAAATTTTTAGATTGAACTCTGTAAATTCCAATTAAACATGGATGGCAAAGGCTGTAGGACCTGTTTAGTGTTCATTTTTTGCCAGAGGGCCAAAGTTCTCTTAATAATTTATCCCATAAATATGAGTATGTCTTTTAACAACCAACCTTGCTATGTATGTTTCTATGGAATAAGGGCCCATTAGCTTAGTATTGTAAGATATATTACCATTTACACTTCATTGATTTCCTTATAGTAAATTGATAATTTTTCATTTGCCATTTATTTTTTAGTGTGCTCATAGTCTCTTATGATTTCTATTCATTATGGTCCATAAATGCCTCTTGTAGCACATTCACAATGATAATAGGATATTAGGGAGTAATGATGTTTTTATGATGTGGCGATGATTTTTAAAATCAAAGTGATTGATTTTCTTTTTTATTTTACTGTTACTCAAATCTTTAATGATATATTTCTTTAATTATAATTCTATGTTAAAATATTGTTTGGCAAGTGTTAAATATTGTTTCCTAAATCTATTTAAATTCCCTTTATAAGCACCTTTGATGGTGTAAATTAAATAGTGGATATATCTCCTTGTTGTCCTACTAAATGTTGAGATACTAGACATATAAAACACAATGGTAACATGGCTCTAATTTCGTTTACCTTTTTTTTTTCCCAGTTTCTGATTTGAAGAGTACAGAAGATGAAAACGAGGAAGTTGAAGGGGATGATGAAGAACTAGGAGAAGCTGATGAAGATGATTCTGATCTGGATTTGGCATGGAAAATGCTGGATATAGCAAGAGCAATTTTTGAGAAGAACCCAGAAAATTCAATTGAGAAAGTAAATGTATTTTCGGCTTTAGGGGAAGTCTCCATGGAAAGAGGTTAGCATGTTTATTGCTTGTTTATGCATCTGCGCATAACAAACATTCATTTTAGCTTCTACCATGTGCAGAGGATGTTGAGACCTCTTTGACAGACTACACCAAAGCTCTAGCCATTCTGGAAGATTTGGTTGAGCCAGATAATCGTAGGGTTATTGAATTGTATCCTCTTAATGTAAAATAAAAAATTTGCAAATTGAAGTCTTTTATGGCATAATTGAAATCTACAAGCGTTATATGCCCTTAATCAGTATTTAGAAACTTTAGGATATGCATGGTGTTAGAGCTGGGCTCTAAAGTCGAAGAGGCTATACCCTATTGTGAAAAGGCTATTTCACTCTGCAAGTCCAGAATAGAGCGGCTCAAGGAAGTTTTAATGAAATCAAAAGATACTGCAGAAGCCAGTAAAAATTCAGTTTCTGAACTGGATGAAAGTGGAAAAGAGTTGTCGTCTGAATCATTAAACTTGGACGGTGAAATCGACCAACTTAGGGGCATCTCAACTGAGCTGGAGAAAAAGGTAAACTCTGAATCCTATCATATATATTTTTTATTAATTTCATTCATGAAAAAGCTATTTTAATCCAAAAAAAAAAAAAGATTGAATTTTAGTTGAAATGCATGAAATTACTTTGAAATGCCCATTTTTTAATATTAGCACAAGGTCAGAATGGTAATTCACATATTTTATTGGAATTTCGGTCAAAATTTTCTGCTAATCTGGCATAACTCTAGTTTTTAATTTTTTATTTTTATCATATAAATGAAGATTTTTTCTAATCTTACGGAAGTTAGGTTGAGTCATTTCAATAATTTAGCTTTCTTACAGCCTGCTCAATATGAAATATCATTTTATTTTATATGTGATCCATTTGCTTGCTTTAATAAAAGCATGAAGATGTCTCCCTTCTACTGTTAGTGTTTTTATCGGAGCATTTAATAACTTGAAATTAGTTAGCATCAGGTGTATTCATTATCTTTGAAATAATGATGACACAGGGCATCTTTTACCCAAATGTGCGGCAACTGCCGCTGATTTGCCTAGGACAAGTAGGGACCGACCGGTCCTTTCAAGTGTGGGTTTCTCTCATTGGAATAGTGTTCACTCCTTTTTACGCTAGATCTATATTTATTTTATTTGTTGGGGTTCAGGTCAGTTTTCGCTTACAGTTTCTGTAAGGCAGCCGCCCGCATCCAGTTTTACTTTTCTAGGGCTTTGTCCGAAGGCTCTACGTGTCCTGACTGTAACTCGTCATGAGAGTTGTTTATCTACCTTCCCAGCTTCCCCAAGCCTTCCTCCATGTTTCCCTGCTGCTGTCCAGCTGCTGGCCAGCCTTCCAACTACTCCCCCTTTGCGGCCGCAACCTTCCTAGCCTTCCTCCTTGCTTCCTTGCAGCTGTCCAGCCGTCGACCAGCCTTCTAACAACTGCTCCTTGCTGCCGCCACCTTCCCAGCCTCCCTTCTTGTCTCTTCGTTCTTGTCCCGTCGTTGGCCAACCTTCTAGCCACTGTCCCTGCCATTCCCGCGCAATAGGCCTTACTCCCACCTCATATCCCAACCACAGCCCTCCTAGAACTCTCTCCTACCAGCTGCTGCTGCAACCCAACCCACAGTCCACTGTTCTTCCTACCTGCAGTCCCGCCACAACCCCCTTACCTCCGCCTCTAGTCCCCACTGCTCCACCGCCACCTCCCACTACCCATTCACCCGCCAACCCACTACCAACAACTCCTTCGAGATACAACCCTTGTTGAGTCAGTGTTGTGTTTGTTATTGTATTCTCTTTTCAAGTGTAGGCGATTATAATTGTTGACTGTTTTCTTTGAATAATAATATTCGCTTTTCTATGATTTGGGTTAATTTCAGTGTCATTTGGTATCAGAGCTAGCCTACTAACCCTGGCTAGCTCTATATCCTAGAGTTTTTGGCTCCCACCCACCCACCACCACCATCACCACCACACCACAATCCAAAATATTTCTTTCCCCATGCTACACCTCCTCTAAGCCCTAACCGTGCTGTCGAGAAGATAATTGTTGAAGGACTTTACCATGGGCAACATACAACTAATACTTTGCTAATTGCTACAACAACTGGATGCCATTGAGGAGAGGACCATGGGCGAGGTCACCGTTGGCCATATTAGTGAGATCCGTGGAGGAGAGCCATCAGAACAATCGAGCCCCTTTCTTAGGGATGAATTCAATGATGAGGAGAATCAACATAGGACTTTTGGAATTTAGTATCAGAGGGCTAGAGAAAGAGTGCCTACCGGAGGACACAAAGATCTGAGAGTTAAAGTGAAACTACTAGACTTCGACAGGAGGATGAATCTAGATGATTTCTCGAGTGGATGTAGATGGTTGAACGAATCTTTGAATACAATGACATGCACGATGAGGGTGTGGGTACCCAAAGTCACCATACTAATACGGTCGGCTGAGCCCGCAGAGCAGAATGATAAGGTGGAACAAAAATCCGAAATATCTGTTAAAGAATTTGATGAACAAGTGAAGGATGTTCATGAAAATCCTCCAGATCTTAAGACAATTAAGGAGACGACAATTGAAGGAAAGGTCGAAAAACTCAAAGCTGAGATTTCCGAGCTGGCCAAAGAACATTGTGTAACAATTAATGATGATGATGAGGATTTTGATTTCAGTAATTACCTTGATGAGGATTTCATGTCATCGAGACTAGAGCTGCCTCATCAGCACGTGATGCCAAACCTCTCGTCGAAGGGAACGCCGCAGATGATTTGCGCAGAGCTATTTTCTTAAGGGATGAACAGATTAGTCAAATGGAAAAGCGAATGGATGAGATGACCGCCATGGCTACAGCTAATGGGCAATCCCATTCACAGTAGGTGACTTCTCCAGGAGTTAACCAGTCTGAAATAATCCATATCACCGATGAACGAAGAGAAGTTGCTTCCGCTAATGGAGAATAGCAGCAAAATAAATATTCATCACCAAATACCATGCTTGAGAAAGATATTAAGCAATTGGTCGAACAACAAGTTCGAGAGGCCTTAGCCCAGTCTAAGGGTGGTATATTGATTTCAAGGGGTAGACCTTATCCGAAGGAGTTTGATGTCGTACCCTACCCTAAGGGTTTTGTGTCACCAACTTCAAGATATTCGACGGGACTGGGAATCCCAGGCAAAATCTAGCACATTTCCAGGCCAGTTGTGGCAACACAGGAGATAATGAAGCCTTACTCTTCTGACAGTTCATCAACAGTCTGTCATGGATTGTTTTTGATTAGTATGCCGAACTATCTAACAGATCAGTTAAGACGTCCGCCGAATTAGAGCAGATGTTCGTAAAAAGATTTACTGGGGCACAACATCATGTTTTTATTGAGGATTTTGTAGTGGAGAAGCAAAGATCCAACGAAACTCTAGTGGATTACATCTTGAAGTGGAGAAACCTTAACATGAAATGTGAGCCTCAACTGCAGGAACAACATACTATTGAGATCCTATTCAAGAGCATACACGGGCCAGTAGCTTTTATGTTCAAGGGACTCACCAAGTCCTTCGAGAAGCTGTTAAGTAAAGCTAGCAGTTTACAAGAGAAAACTAAACACATGGATTCTCAAGAGAAAACAGAGAAATCCAGGACAACCAGAGCATTCGAGAAGAGGTTTGGGACAATGACAACAGTCGATAAAGGAAAACAACCAATGAAAATACAAGTAGAGCATTCTCATCGAAGTTCTCAGCAACCGTTACAGTGTGCTCAACAACAAGTGCAACAGTATAGACAGTCCAGCCAACAACCATACCAAGGAGGATCATACCAGTCGGAAGGTAGAACAAGTCCGACTCTTTCAGAGCGAAGGAGAAGACAATATTCCTTCAAAGATGAGGCTGTGTCGAAGATGTTCAGAAACTTGATGAAGAAGCCGTAGTTCAGGTTGCCAGAACCAAAGAAGCCCGAAGAGGTTGATAAGAAAGATAGTCCCAATTTTTGTCTCTACCTGGGCCATACAGTAGAAGGTTGCTTCATCTTCAAAGATTGGCTCGAGAGGAACTATAAAGAAGGAAACATATCGATCTCGAAAGAATATTTGAAAGAGTCAGAGAAAGGTTCTGTGAATATGATTTCGGCCGAGCCCATCGTTACGATAGATCCATATGCAAATAAAGATGGATGGAGCACAGTTTGGAGTAAGTCATCCAAGAAAATACTGGATCATAATCAGACCGCTTCAGCTCAAGCAACCGTTCAGAGTCTACAACCTGCCCGACCCAAGTTGGGGATTGCGTCAAAGAAGTCATCGCAACCGGAAGAGAAAGAAAAGAGTGACGTTGTTAAGACTGATAGCGCGGAGGGTAATATAGGGGCTGCCTCTGTTAGATTAGTTATCTTGGATTTGGGTAAGAAATCCTCGAATCTCTGGCCATGTATGATTAGCTTTTTGCCCCACTGGGGTATTATGAATATAATGATTCCGGCTATGTTTTGGTTGTCTCTAATGATAACGTAACTGACTTTATTCAATCTAACTGGGATCTCGATTCCCAAACCGATTCTCAAATCGTACTTGAGTCTGATAAACTCGTCAATGAGAATGAAGAAGTCATCGATAATACCGGTTACAATAGCACTGGGAGTGAGGAGTCAGTCCTCAAAATGTCAGATACACCACTTACCATCAACTTGGATCTTTCCGATAATTTTGCCCCACTGGGGTATTATGAATATAATGATTCCGGCTATGTTTTGGTTGTCTCTAATGATAACGTAACTGACTTTATTCAATCTAACTGGGATCTCGATTCCCAAACCGATTCTCAAATCGTACTTGAGTCTGATAAACTCGTCAATGAGAATGAAGAAGTCATCGATAATACCGGTTACAATAGCACTGGGAGTGAGGAGTCAGTCCTCAAAATGTCAGATACACCACTTACCATCAACTTGGATCTTTCCGATAAAGAAAGAATATCAGAACCTTTTCCTACAGCATCTCAGGAAGAAGAAATTACATAAGTAAATCTAAGGAGCGAGAAAGTATTACACTCGGTGTTACCTTCAAGAACAGCTCCAACGGATAAAGGAAAACATATAGTAATTCAAGAAGAGCTACTTCCACCTCCGCCAACTCGAGAAGAATTACCTCCACCCCCACTAGTGGAAGAACCACACAACCAAGTGAAAATTGGAGGATCATATAAAGTTGATTACAATGTGCTAGCTCATCTTAGGAAGTTTTTGGCTCGATTAAGCATCTACGACGTTCTAATCCTATCAAAGGAGATGAGAGAATCTCTAGTTACAGCCTTGCTCGACCCAGAGATTTGCTTAGCCCAGTTGGCTAGCACATCCTTGGATGAAGCTTGTTCGTTATAAGAACAGTCTGGGATAACATTCACAGATGAAGACTTGTTGGTCGGTACCACCGACCACAATCGACCACTCTACATCTCTGTCAATATCGACAGATTTGTATTGTCCAGAGACCTGGTAGACCCGGGAGCATCACTCAACTTAATGAGTCTACGGATGTTAG